CTGCCTCACTAGGTAGTAAGCCTTCTTTGACCAATGTTTGAATCTCATTTTGATTGATTACAACCCAAAAATAGACACCAAAAAATACAATGAGTCAGGAATAACAAATTTTCTCTTAACACTCAATCTAGAAGATGTAACATTAGTTTCTATATCCTGTAAATATTAAGAGCTTGTGGTTATAGTATATAGACCATCTTTCAATGCACCAGAAGCAATCGCACATCTATTCAATTTTATAAAACCAATTTTACAAAATAACAACACAGTTTTTATAAACCAAAAGTAAAACAAGAATGAGATTGCGTCTAACATCTATGTATAAAGATAGTTCTCTAATACTAATATCCTCATACTCTCTAATTTCAGATGTAATACTCCCACTGACTTAGCTACAATCTTGGCATCAGGTCAAAAGACAAATATATATCTATATCATCGAGGCTTCTGGATTCCTAAAATCCTTGCAACGAATTGCAAACATGATTAGTGGCTCTAGAATCTATCCATCAGGAATCAATAGATATAACCACATAACATGGCTTAATGATTAAATATACATTTTCCTATGCTACGTCATTGTTTAGACAGTTTGTCCTTTAGTGTCTTAGTTAGCGGCAAAAGAAACAGTTTCATTCACCCTCAACATACACTGCCTTATTCCCTTTTACCTTTTGGATACCCATGTTTTGTGCTAGCCTAGTCCTATTCTCATCCTTCTTTCCTTTGCCCTTCCACTTGGGCCTAGAAGAAGATGGTATAGACTAGGTTAGATTGATATGAACACCCATATTTTTAATTATCCCTTCATATGTTACTAATTCTATAAGAATATCAGCGAGTGTGAACTCAAACTGATTCCTTATTTAGTTCACTCTAAAAAAGTCAAACGAGTTTGGTAACAAGGCAATAATCATGTCAACTTAAAACTTACCATCCAAGTCAGCCCTATTGACCTCCAGTTTAATTTTTAAATAATAAACAATCATTTTCAAAAATTCGATCTCATTCTGGAGTTCCTTAGGCTATATTGATGGTGTTCAAATCGAACATAGTACTTAGGCATACAATCTATCTAATCTCACTAAAACATCTCATTGGGTATTTTAAAGTAAAGAAATTAGGTATATGAGTATTAAATACATTTTGTACCATTACGTTATGAATAAAATATCTAAGTTCCTTATCCAGTCAATATTTAATAAGGTTCAGTTACATTGAATATGTAAGTAAGCAGATAAAATGGATTAGACATAATTAATCTGAATATAAATGCATTCATACAATATGTAAGGTGAATTATTAATCTTATCATGCATATTTAAAATTAAAATGAGTTTGTTAACCACATAATATAATAAATCCTAAATAGAATAAGAGATCATTATCATTATTGGTGAACAATCCCTTTTAATTAATGCGGGTCCCTCAACTTCGTAGCATAATAAATCACACAATCAATACGTCAATAAATTATCCTGATGGAGAAGTTCATTATTACTATTGTTGATATTCATTTGCTATTAGGCGAGCACTTACATTAAAATAATATGTGGGTCCCTTAACCACTGCATGAAAAATCGGATAACCAATACGCCAATAACTTATTTGGTTGGCGAAGTTCATTATTGCTATTGGCAGGTAAATCCCATCATTTCCATATCTCTTAAGACAAGCCTTGTCTAACATATGAAATGATTCCTAATTTTGTTTAGCCTTTCTAAAATTACCTAGTGTAGACCACTCCGTTGGGGAGCTAACACTATTGATTTTAGATTGAGTGTATAACGTTATTAAAGTTCTAATAAAAAATAAAATATTAAATATCTTGTCATTATCATCTAGATTCTTTAAATCATGCGTATGGCCTTATTTTTAAAGATCTAATTACAATGAATATTTAATATTTTTATTTTCATGAGACAACCATTCTTGTAATTTTTAGACTCTTCAAATCATACATGGGGCCTTATTTTTGAAAATCTAATTACAATGATTTTAATAACGAAGGCCATGGGGTAATGTATAAAAATTCCCGCTCCCACTCAATTTTTAATCATAAATAATTAGGGTTTTAAATTTATTCATTTACATGATATGATGCATGAAAAACATATTGATTTTAATTCAATTATATTTAGAAAAGAACTGGACTTTTAAATGATTCACTAATATTTAATTGGAGGCACACTTTAAAAATAAATTTTCATTTCCCAATAAGTGCCCTCTAATTAATTAGTAATCAAATCAAATTAATTTTCATAACTTAAGTAATATAAATCAAGTCATTTAAATAAATATAATGGATCCAATATATGAACAATAATTAATTAACAATTATCTATTCCTTGTACTTCATACATTACATAAATAAATAAATGACAGATAAAACAAATAAAATGGCCAATGGATTTAGCTTTGAACATTTAAATGCTCTAATTATTGCACTAGGGTCCACCAAAGGTTTGTGAACACCTGCAGAGGCTTGTACGCGTCTGGATTGGTCAAAACAGCACCTGAAGTAGCAAAACAGCGCGTGATACGCGCTTCCACGCACTGTCACTCGCCTTAGGAAGCAGTAGCGTGTCGACACGCACCAGGGAGACACGTCAGTGTGTGAGACGCGCTAGGGATACTCGTCAGCACGTGAGACGTGCCTACACGCGCTTTAAAGATGCAGCAGCTAACAGCGCGTGATCCCACGCGCCTGTACTAATGTTGCGCAACAATTATTGGCGTGTGAATTCCACTTACTTTTGGATTGGGTGTGCATGGAGCGCACCCTTGGCCGCGAAGCACCGGATTAATCAACCTGTCATCTTCATCCAGCAACTGTGCATGCTGTTGCACCTAATTCTAGTGCACCGCCAAGCACTGGATCGAACCTTCAACCCACCGGCGCTGCCCTTGCCGCCAGCGACACTTCGGTCACTGAAAAATTGCCGATAATTCCAGAAAAATATTTTAAAAATCCAAAAAATTAAATTTGGCCTTAAAAAAATTCCAGAAAAATTCTAAAAATCCCTAGAAAATTTCTTAAGCCTAATTTAACCTTCTTCCCTTCTTGAAGCTTCATAGTATCCTTTGATGAAGATTACATGCCTTTAAATAAATTTACAATTTGAAATATAATGGAAAAAATTAAATTACATCATTAAACTTTCAAACGGCTAAATCAAAGCCTTAATTACATTCATTTAAAGATAAAATTACATTCAATTAACCTATAAGCTTCATCCATGGCCCAAACATACATCATCATTCATTCACAATTATACATACATCATCATGTATCAATATATATCAACATATTAAATCATACATCAACATACATCAATAAAAAAATATATGAATATAATATTGGATCTATGAATGATGATTTTGTAAAAAAAAAAAAAAAAAACATAATCTCTAGTAATGAATCAAACCATACTCTGATACCACTGTTGGGAAACGTGCTAGTTTTAAAAAGTTTTCGAGAGATTTTCTTTCACAGATCTTGATTCATCACATAGAGACAAATTTTATGCAAAAATAAAACATGATATATCATTCAATTAATAGATTGAATACTTACATCAAAGGTTTGAGTAAACCTTAAATCTCTCCTCTAAAGTGAATGTTCTCACTTATTGTAGATCCATTTGCTAGATTCCTTCTCCTTAGATCTCCATCTTCTTGGTAATGGTTTTACCTTTAGGAATCACTCATAAGCTTCCATGAATGATCTTGGAAAAAACTAAGCTTGTGGGAGCTCCATTAGATGAGAAAGCAAACCCTAAAATCTAGAGAGAGAAAAATATATTCCTTTTTCTTTTCTTCCAAAAATCACTCGTAAAATATACATGAACCCATGTATATATAGGCAACATAAAAATAAGAAAAGGAAACAATAAATCTTTCTCCATCTCTAATTCACATATCTCAAATCTAATAGAATTCCAATATCAAGTTGGGTTATGAGTGAGAATCCAATTAGGTTTATTATTTTCTTGGCTACAATGAATTAGTAATCGGCCCGGTCCATAGACCTAATTCAATTAATTCATTAATTAATTTCTACTCCACTAAAAGAAATTAATTGAACTTCAATTAAATAATAAATAACCTCTAAGTCAATGTTGCACTTTGACCCATCTATGCATAATTAGTTATCGGATAAATAAAGCCATCAATCCGACTACTTAATTAATATATTTATTTTGGTACCATTGATTATTTCTGGTTCGATCACAATAAAACATTTGTTTGACAAAAATAATAATTTAAAAAAATAAATATATAATAAATCATTTTGTCTAAAACCACACGAAGGCCTTCGAATTTAATTTATGATCAACCATAATCAATATAAAATAAATACAAGTAGCATTGATGCAAATATTGAAAATATAACCCTCTAACTATTAATTACATAATTACCCAAAGTGCCAGTCTAAGGATTCCGAAGATTCCGCCGAACAAATCAAAGTAATTACTAATTAATAAAAAAGTCTATATTTCTCTCATGGTTAAGAATCAAATGCCATAACGGTGATAAGGAGCAATTGCATATGACGGCTCTCGCAATATATTTCAACCTAACGCGGATCCAATTCAAGTCTTAATTAATTATGAGTACATCCATAATTACCACTATGAACAAATTATGATTACTATTTATATTCATGTATTGATTGTCATCACATACATATATAATCAAGTAGACACTATCAATTCCATAATGAATCGAAACATAATACATTGAATTCACCAATTGTATAAAGCATAAATATTTCAGATAGGGATAGCAATAGGGCGGAGTAGGGCCAGGATTTCATTCCCCATCTCCATCCCCGGTCAAATTTTTTACCCCCATCCCCACCCCCATACCCGTTTAAATTCCAACCCCCTCCCCCGTCCCCGCCCCCGCCCCGCCCCACCACATTAGCCCTCATCCCCGCCCCACCCCGCCCCGCATAACTTTTTTGAAATTCCAATTTATCTTCAACAAAATCAACACAACTATAATATTTTTCAACCTAATAATTTAATAAAGCTTCAGCACAATTATAACAATTTAAAACATATCATTTCAACCCGATCAAACTTATAACAAAACCACATATAACATTTTTTGGAATAGTCTAGAAATTTTCAACATGATCAATCAAAACAAATAACATTCTTCCAACAACGACTATGCTACATGGGAATAGATCTAGGGTTTCAGAAGTAAATATATTATATATATAGTTATGTAATTTAGTAACATTTTATAACATATAAGAGCAGTTTTGTAAAAATGCACTATAAGTGGGGCGGGGAGGGGCGGGGTTACCCTTCCTCGGCCCCACCCCGTCCCCCGCCGGGGTTTCAAATACAATCCTCGTCCCCGCCCCATTTACATAAATGAGTCTCCAAACCCGCCATAACAGGGGCAGGGTAGGGCGGGGACCCGCCGGGTATGGGGATTTTACCATCCCTAATTTCAGATACGTCAGGAACATATGTCACTTTAATCCAAATGAAAATTTACTATGTCAGGGCATATAAATCCCAACAGTTTCCATCTTCATCTCATTATATAAATATTTGTTGGGATTTGTATGATGATCGAGAAACACATGGAAAGATGAACAACACCATCCTTCATCAACTTTATCACCTCCTTCCTAAGTGCAAATTCTTTTCGGCTTAACTTTGTCCCAGTTGCCCCTGTAAATATCAATCAACTCTGAAAAGTTCTATTTACAATTTTTTCCATGAACTGAGTAGACCTTGTTTAAAGAGAGATATAATGGAGGAACTTTGTGTTTGAATCCTATTCCTTATTGGCTACTGCTTTGATTAACGATGAACTTTTGAAGGTTGATCACCATGACAGTTATGTCGTCAATGTTGCCTCTGCTAGAAGATAAATCTACAAGCTTTCTACAAGATTTTAGTGAATCTGTCTCCCTTAGTACTACATCAACTGCCTCCTGGTCATTTACCTGCACCCAACGAAAATCAACTTATAGGTTATGCATTTCTCAGAAGAGTTGAATGGCAATGGGCTATTCACTTGTAATCAAAGGTTTAGGTGTCTCCAAACCTGATTTTCACCTAAACAAAATCAACTAGTCTTAATTGTGTACCTTATCCCACAATCCATCAGAAGCTATGATCAGAAACTCACAATGTGAGGTTAAAGGAAGCTTCTTAATCTCTGGTTCAGAAATGATCCATTCTTTCAGATGCAGATCACCAACAGCTCTAGAAACCGCGAGTGATCCGTTAACTCTCCAAACTCCATTTCTGCAATGCACAAAGCCACCCTGCAATTCTATAGCTAGTTAAATTCCGTTAAAAACCAACAAGAAGAGGGAGAAAAAAGGACTGATCGATATAGGGAAACCAAATACATGTAGATTGTTTTTTAAATAAACTATTAATCACCTTAAGATTATACGAGAACTCAACTATCAATGCAAAAATGTCAAGTGACAAGAAGTATTCGTATAATCTTAATTTGAGTGCACCAAATACATGTTGTCGATAGTTTTTGTTAGACAAAAAGGCTTACAGAGTTTTCTATTCGGAAGCGCTCATCTTCCCTACTAAGACGGTGATCGCTTGTCAATGCATTAGCCATTCCTTTCTTGCTCAAAACTACTCTACAATCTCCTGCATTCGCGACATGTAATTCTCCATCCTTCAATAGTACACTAGCTACACAAGCTCCACTAGTTACACCCTGCAGTGAGTATTCCACAAAACAAAAATCTTTAGCATTCAAACCATATTGACAAATTCAACTAATGTAGGATGCTGCCTTTGTGTGTTGTGTGTGAATCAATGGAAAAATGGTATTCCATGTGTAAAAAACATAGAGAGTTTGATTATGGATAAATGAATTTCTAATAAATGTTGTTGTGCAGTTTTAGTTAACCTGACTAAGAAATTCTTTATCTGTGACTAAGAAGCCTCCGCGAATTGCTGCTTCTATCTCATCTTCTTCCGCAAGTGCTTTCACAATGTTCTTCCCCAAATTTTCAGCAACATATTCAGCTGCAGCACAGCCACCATGCCCATCGATCACCCCAAAAAATGCCTATAAATTTAAAGATGCATAATAAAGTTTTAATATCTAATTTATCTCAAAGATTATACTACATACATTAATTACCTAGAAAAATCTCTAAAAGTCAAATGAACAAATTAATTTCACCTCTTCAAAAGTCCTTTGTCAAAATCATAACATAAGTGCTTTTCAAAATGTTATCCAAAAGGTTTCTAACTTTAAAAACGATTTGCTATTTCAATCCAATATTTCTTAGACAATGATCAAGCAGTACCTGTTTAGGATCTCCCAAAACATCAAGCATAACCCCATACCCATCCTGCATAACCTCCCTCTTTCCTTTCTTGCTTGCCAAACAGTAGTCTCTCCCTTCAACCTCAAAATATTCCTTATTGTCCAACTTTTTATTTACTTCACCAAAATCGTCCCCGGGATGATAAGGAGCCGGTACAACAAGGCTAGCCGGCCTCTTCGTCAACGCGTTCAATCCCAGAACCTTCTCCGGTGGTGAATTATCCCGTACTCCTTGAAGGTAATGATTTTCAGACCCAAGAACTCGAGTACTCGTGGGATTCTCGGGAACTTGGTTATCTGCAAAGAGCCATTTGAGCCGGGATAGAGCAGGAAGAGGAGGAGGAGGAGAAGAAAAAGGTGGTGGTGGTGGAGGAGAAGTCACGAGGGTTAAAATCATTGATGATAAATTAAGACTTTGCACCGAAGAGGGTCCTCTCAGGCAGTAGGAGGCTATGTCATGGGCCACTGCGGCCGCCCCACACGTGTAGGAGCCGAGCCAGCGGCGGTCTTTGGTGCCCAGAACTCGTATCTCCAACACCCATTTCCGGCAACGTAGGCCTTTGTACTTCTTCTGGGATGAGCTACTACTTATTTTCACCATATCTTAATCTAGTGATGGCTTGTGACTTGTGAGAGTTGGATGGAAATGGAATGAAATGAATTGTGGTTAAATAGGTTAAAGAATGAAAAAGTCAGAGGTGGATTTTATATATATATATATATATATATATATATATACTAGTAATGTTTTGGGGCCATGGGGTGCTCAATGGAAGGGTTAAAGTGAAGAATGGTTATATATAGAAGCGTTCAATGACGGTGCTTTTTGAATTTAAGAATGAGTATTATAATTAAATTAAGTGTTGTGGTCCAGGTTGAAATAGTACAAAGTGAGGCCCTTGAAAAATTGCCTAGGGTGTGGCCTTTTATTGTCCACCAAAACGCGTTGAAGAATTAGATACTAGATGCATTTATTGTGATTTTGATATAGCACTCACCAAATTTGCACTATTTATATTTTGGACCACAACACGGGATGATTGGGTTTGAATGCAAGTCATAATATTTTGGACCACAACACGGGATGATTGGGTTTGAATGCAAGTCATAATCGTGTTAATTCAAAATTGACACGTTAATTAAACATTTTGTATTCGTATTTGACTAATTAGACTCCGAGTAAGAAAAGCGTGCCGCATTCGTGTAAAATGCTATTCATTTAACTTAATGTGTTGAATAAGCGTATCGTGTTTCTATATTAAATGTGTCATGTTCGTGTTAATTTGACTTTCAAGATTTGAAATTTTAATTAAACGTGTTTTATTATATTTTGATAAGGTCTTGACCCATTTATTCAGTGGGTTATACGAATTGAGTCGTGTTAATTTTTGATAATCGTGTTGTATTTATGTCAATATTTCTCGAGAAAAACAATAATTATGTACAATTAAAAGTGACCGTTAAATCCACAAAATTCAACATTTACATGCGGAACGCCAAAACACCAAACATTCTAGAGAAAGATGCTTCTCTTGTTTACTTTGAGAGAAGAGAAATAAGGAAGGAATAGAATGTGGACTAGGCATTCCTTCAAGTCCATGAATTTATGTTTGTTCAAAATTGCTAGAAAGAATATACTATGAATGTTATTTATTGAATAAAATAAAATGATATTATAACTCTCATTGGTGTGAGAGTTATATTGGTAAATTAATATCCAAAGTCATATCACACCTTTTTCTTTGTGTTGACAAATTATAGTGAGCATGAAGGGTGTACAGCATACAATATATACAAAACAAATATGATGAAGGGACAAAAATTCCACTGGGCCGGATTCGGCCCATCTCACCCCTCTATGGAAAAATTCCAACGACTTTCTAGCCCAATCCTTCTTGGTAGTAGGCCTAACTTTGTGGTGGGACAGCCCAAAGGAAACCAATCCAAGAAAGGCCCAAAGTTGAGAGTCAGGAAGGGGATTTCAAGGCGAGTGTAAAATTCCATAAATAGAAGTTCGAGAGAGAATGTAAAAGAGGATTTTTTTATTGGAGAGTAAGAAAAATCTTTTCCAAAATGGAGAGTTGTTTTCTTGCATCTTCATATACTATTTGAGTCAATCTCCAACCAAAAAACCAAAAACCGAAGAGTGAGGGTCATCTATTGAGGATGTTGAGTCACAACAATGATTTTGAAAATTGCTGATACTCACATGTGTGGACTATTTTTACTTGTATAGACGCATTCTAAAAATATCTCCACAACAGGGTAGGTCATGACTCATGACATGACTTTTTTTTTTCTTTTAATTTCACTCAATCACACAAAATAGAAAAGAGGGACACTCTGAACATGTTTGGTTCAATTTATTTTAAAAAATTAAAATAGTTTTCTGCATATATGTTCTGAAAAAATTAAGAGTATCTCCAATAAACTCTCTAAAATTAGGCTCTTTGAATTTGCCACATCAGCATTTTTCAATAGCCACATTAGCATTTCCCATAACCACGTCAGCATGTTAGAATTTCCAAATTTTAGCTATAGCATGTATTTCAATGGTGTATTTTCGTTTTCCAAAAATATTAACATTTTAATACTTTTAAAATTTAAAATAAATTTTTTAAAACTTTTTCCTAACGGTTATATTTATAACGGCTATAATGTCAATAGAAACAGTGAAAAATCTGAAAACGAAAAAAAATCACTTTTTTCCAATTTTTTAAAACTTTTTTTTGCCCAAAAAAGTCTTTAAGGCAATGTTTGTGTCAGCCAAATAGTGTCTTAACGGCTCTTTGGTTCAATTATTTTGAGGAGGAAAAAAAAAAAGACCAAAGTAAGCCAAAAAATTGGATTTTAGCTTTTATTTCAGCCAAACATGCCCTTAGGAACAGTGTTCTAGACTTATACAATGTTCTGGTCTGAATTTAAAAAATAAAAATAAAAACAAAAATGGACCCATAAAAAGTGAGCCCAATTACCTTCCCAATCACCCTTTCCGACGACCTCCATGGAGAGCCTAAATTTGGGACTCATTTTTTCCATATTCTATTGGAGCGTGCAATTTCCAAAAGTTAGCCCATTTTCGCCGAATAGAGCATCAATGGAGCCGCTCTAATGACCATGTACGAAGTATGTTTCCAAATAAGACTTTGGAGCAGTGTTAGTTTCCCTTACACTCAAAATAGTTTGTGGTCATAAACCTTTCAAGCAACTTCAAATATTAACATCTAAACTATTACATATAATTAAAAAAAATAAATTGAATGAGATTGATTCGGTCAGCCAAGCCATGTTGATTTGTAGTATTTTACAAAGATCTAAAAAGGGTTAAAAAGGGTTCTACCCGTTAACCTATTAAAAAGGCGGTCAACTTCAGTTTTTAAATTTTTTTAATATCATAAAATTTTTAGAACACGTGTCATATTTCTGTTGGGCCACTTAAATTTGAAAATGACATATATTTATTTATATGTCATCCCGGAAAGACGTAATAATTTTTTCAAAATGACCTATAAATGCCCAATTTCTATGTTTGGGTACATATGAAAAAAAAAAAAAGTATGCTGGTAATTCTCTCTCTTTTTATTTAATATTATTAATTTTTTATATACTAAAACTTTAGCGAATAATCATTCTAAAATATAAATATTTGGTACCATATTTCTTGTGCCAAGTTACTAGAGAAATAGACGTTAAAAAACCATGTGAGCATCACACGATATCAGGAGAAAAATTCAATTTCCTCTTTTGCATTAATTGCACAAAGTCCTTTTAAATAAAATAATATATATATATATATATTGAAAAATTCCGTGCATTGTAAGTTAGTACTAAGAAATAAATAGTTACACTATCATTTACAAATAATTGTATTTTGTTTTGAAGAACAATACTTTCCTCTTATGTACAGGAGAGCACTTCCATACAACTTACATGACATGATATGAATGAATTATATTAGTAGGTTTTTATTTTATTTTTCTCCTTAGGTATCTATATTAGTAGATTTTATATAAGTTTGAGGCACTTAAAAAAGTATTTTTTTTTTAAATTTTTATATGAGAAATGATAGGTCTTCTGATCTTAATTGTCGACTATTCCTCCGAGTACAACGTAGTTGGATCCCGTTGAAACTCTTAAAAAAATTCCCGTAAATATTTCTTTTTCTTCAACTCATTCCCAACCATGTTATATTTGAAGAAATAGTCGGCAATTGAAGTCGAAAGATCTATCACTTTTCTTTTTATATTATAAAAAAACACTTGATTTAATAATATCATGATATATGCTTTTCCTTATAGAAAAGGCCGCAAATATTGTTCTATTTTAAAATTTCAATATATTCTCTTTTTTCTTTTATTTTTTTGTAGATAGAGATATATGAATTAAATATGACTCGTGTTAATACACAAAATCCTGATAATTATTAAAATATCAAGTGTTTGACTCTCATATAGTTGCACTCTTATCATTTTTTAGCAAATTTAAATTTCGAAAAGTATAGTAATTTTATATATATATATATATATTTTAATAGTTGCTATTAATTTTAGAACTCATTCAATAACTTCAAAATATTTTTACCTCCACCTAATTTACTTTAAACTCAATTAAATAATTTCAAAACATATTTTACGTCTACCTAACTAAAACCGTTAGGTTATCATTATTGTCTTCTTAGTCATATTTGTTAACTTTCAGTTGTTTAGGGGTCAAAATTTATATAATTTGTGAACTTTTGTTTCGGCAAAAAAATAAAATATAAAAATCTATGCGGTTTTTTTTTTTTTTTTTCTGAGGATAAATTTGAAACTACGCATAACAATTTTTTTTGCGCCTTCTCTCTCTCTCTCTCGACTCTGTGTGTGTGACTGTGTGCGCGTGCCAAGTAGTGCGAAGCTCTGGAAAATGGCGAATTTGAGAAGTATAGATACAGAGATTCAATGCCATTAAATCATTCAAACAATTCAAATTCCGGTATTTTTAATCTTTTCGTATTCTCTCTCTATAATCTACGGTTTTCTTTGGATGCGAATCTCTTTAGTAGCTCTGGTCCATTGATTTATTTATAGATCAATATCTTTAAATTGGAATGAAATTCTATGAATTGCACGGTTTGATATAATTTAGTGATAAGAATCACTCGTTGATTTTGTGAGTTATTCACATCTAAGAAGATCTGAACTGAAAATGAGAAAATGTTTTAATTTGACATGCCTTTCATCATCTTACATACATGAAACAGTAAAAGTTTTAGGTATTATCAAATTTCCGATCTGGTGCTGGCACCAAGGGCGGATTCAGGATTTCTAGGTGGGCTGGGCTAACATTAAATATGAATACTAAGGAATTGGTTTGGGCCTTTATTTTAAGTATGGTGGCTGAGTTTACTTGGGCTTCATTGGGTTTTTGGGATGGGCTAATACTATTAATTTTTTTTATTTTTTGGGCTGGGCTAATATATTAGATATGTAACAAAAAAAAATTTTTTTTTTAGGGGTGGGCTACAGCCTACCCTTGTGTCCGCCCCTCGGTGCTGCATAGTTTTGACCTAGTTTTCATGTAATTGATTTTCTTCCAAAGTTAGATTTGAGATAGATGAAGTTAATATAGGTATTCATGATTTATCCATTTGAAAATTTCAAATCTATAGAAAGATCATGTTTTTAATCCACTTTGCATAATTATGTTGAAAACACATTAAAAGTCAAAAAGATAAATTTTTGGTTCCATTTTTTTTCTTTTTTTTTTGCCTTTCACACAATATTATGACCATATGAGAATCTGCAACCATGGAGTAAACTTCAGATGCAGATATTTCGCATAAAACATCCTAAAATTAACATAAAAATTCTGTAATTTTTTGCATTATGTTGACGAAGATGCAATAAATTGCTCTCTACATTTAGAAAGTAAATATGTTACATTTCAATTGAAATCCTTTACATTTTCGCTCCTTCTTCTATTTATAGAATACTCTCCTTGCCCTAACCATTCTTTGGGCCTTTCTAAACCCAAAGACAAAATAGGGCTCATCCTTCCTCAACGGGCTCATCCTTCGCCTGGGTTGACCTCCAGATTTGATCACGCCTTGCATGAAAGAGAATGGGCTGGGAGATCACTGGGCATCCTTCTGAACAATTGGGCCGTGCTGGACTTGGCCCAGTGAGATTCTATGCCCCTTCAGTTGATTTGATCTGCTACTAGCGTTGAGCCTATGTTATTATGAATTCTTACCAAATTGACTTCTGTTTTTCCAAGAATTTTATTTTACTTTATTTTCTGTTGACAAATTTTGTCAGGCTCTTAACTATGTTTTTCGAATTTTGAATTTCCAACACAGTAAGTTTCAGAACATTAAATATGTAAAATAGAACTCTTTAGACGTTATATATTTTTTGGTCTGATAATGCATGGTTTGGCTAATTGTTGTTGTTAACTTAACTATGAAGATGCTAATCATATGTTAATTCAATTAAATTTATGAAGCACCTGTTACTTGAAAAGAGAGAAGAAAATTAGAGCACCTTTAAATTTGAATCAATTGCCATTGAATTCAAATATATATCTAGAGGTTATGAAGGGGCAGAATCCATTTAATTCAAATGTAAGGTCTTGCCGAAGATCAAGGAGGCATTATTTTTATTCAAAAGTTGGGATTTTTCAATTTAAATATTTAGAATTTAAATTGAAGTTATTTCACTAAGCCAATATAAAAATTGTGCAAAGTGCCCCTTTACCTGTATTTTTGGGTGATTTATCAATCAACTCTGAAAACGTCCATTTATAGGATTTCATTTTCAGCACTGGGGGTGTGTCAGTGGCATTCATTTTTGTGACGAATTGGGATTGCAACGTCGTCTCCCTGTTTATGATTTAATCTGCCGCTCTCACGCTCCCACTCTCAAATTCGTTCCCGCTTCCGTTTTATGCGACTTAAGTTGTGCCTCGGTCCCAAAATCAATTGACAGAACATAAAGTCTTAAACTTGACAGCTCAGGAAAACTTTTTATCATCTTGGCATTCGTCTTCCTTGAATAATTCTACTTTTGATACTGATGCTGAATTCAATTATATAATGCACATAATTCTTTAACTCTGCATTCGTTTTGGTTTTTGGAAGAATGGAAGGAATGAATAGAAAGTCATAAAAATCTCTCACAATATAAGAAAAAATTAATCGAATTTGATCTACTAAAACATATACAAAAGTTTACCCCAATGAATAATATCTCCAAAAAAGGAGTCCAAAGATCAACATCCCTAGTCTATGTCACTGCATGTATAATAATTTATCTCACAGAAATTGTCGTCATGGCTCTGATGATCACCCATCTATCTTCTTCCGTGAGTACACCTTGTTTAAAGAGGGATATAATGGAGGAAGTTTGTGCTCGAAACCTATTCCTTATTGGCTTCTGCATTGATTAACGATGAACTTTTGAAGGTTGATCACCATGACAGTTATGTCGTCGATGTTGCCTCTGCTAGAAGATAAATCTACAAGCTTTCTGCAAGATTTTAGTGAATCTGTCTCCCTTAGTACTACATCAACTGCCTCCTGGTCATTTACCTGCACCCAACGAAAATCAACTTATAGGTTATGCATTTCTAAGAAGACTTGAATCCAAGGAGTGGCAAATTCTTTTAGGTCTAATTGTGTACCTTATCCCACAATCCATCAGAAGCTATGATCAGAAACTCGCTATCAGAGGTTAAAGGAAGCTTCTTGATCTCTGGTTCAGAAATGATCCATTCTTTCAGATGCAGATCACCAACAGCCCTAGAAACCGCGAGTGATCCGTTAACTCTCCAAACTCCATTTCTGCAATGCACATAGCCACCCTGCAATTATATAGCTAGTTAACTTCCATTAAAAACCTAGCTATTCAAACAAGCGTTTACGGACTTCAAATTACAATTATACGTGAACTCAATTATCAATGAAGAAATGTCAAGTTAGATGAAGTATTTGTAATTTGAGGGAACCAAATACATGTTGTAGAAAGCTTTTGTTAGATAAAAAGGCTTACAGAGTTTTCTATTCGGAATCGCTCATCTTCCCTACTAGGACGGTGATCGCTTGTCAATGCATTAGCTATTCCTTTCTTGCTCAAAACTACTCTACAATCTCCTGCATTTGCTACATGTAATTCTCCATCCTTCAGTAGTACACTAGCTACACAAGCTCCACTACTTACACCCTGCAGTGAATATTCCACAATTCAAAAAAACATTAGCACAATTTCAACCAAGGATTATGTAGGATGGTGCCTTTGTGTGTGTGTGTGTGTGTGTGTGTGAGCATGTTCATGTACATGTGTGTGCAACACAATTTCATGAATGAATGAAAAAAATATTATTCAATGTGTAAAAACTTGGAGAATTTGATTATGGATATATGATCCTAGCTAATGTTTTGATATAAATAGGTATGTAATTTAAGATTGCAGATGAAATAATGCACATGGTTTTTGAAAGCCATTTTAATAAACTAATAAGTCAAACAACTTAATTTAAGGGGGGTTGAAACTTTCATGGCCGGTGTGAAATCTTTAAAAATTCCAGTAAATGTTGTTGTGCAGTTTTAGTTTACCTGACTAAGAAATTCTTGATCCGTGACCAAGTAGCCTCCGCGAATTGCTGCTTCTAACTCATCTTCTTCTTCAAGTGCTTTCACAATGTTCTTCCCCAAATTTTCAACGACATATTCTGCTGCAGCACAGCCACCGTGCCCATCGATCACCGAAAAAAATGCCTATCAATTTAATGATATATATTAATGTTTTTATATCTAATTTATCTCAAAAGATTAGAGTAAGTACATAAATTGCCTAGAAGAATTTCTAAAATCTAGTCAAAAGAACAAATTAATTTCACATTTTGAAAGTACTTAAAAACTCACTTTTGGAATGCAATACAAGTGCTTTCAAAAAGTTATCCAATACTTTGAAAATGATAAAGTATATACCTGTTTAGGATCTCCCAAAATATCAAGCATAACCCCATACCCATCTTCCATGACCTCCCTCTTTCCTTTCTTGCTTGCCAAACAGTAGTCTCTCCCTTCAACCTCGAAATATTCCTTATCGTCCAACTTTTTATTTCCTTCACCAAAATCACCCCCGGGATGATGAAGAGCCGGCACAACAAGCCTCGCCGGCCTCTTCCTCAACTTGTTCAACCCTATAACCTTCTCCGGTGGTGAATTATCCGGTACTCCTTTCGTCTTCAAAACACCAAAATTCGAATTCCCTTGTGGGTATTGATCTTCAGACTCAAGAACTCGACTACTCGTGTTGTTCTCGGGTACTTGATGATCTGCAGAGAGCCATTTGAGGGGGGATAGAGCAGGAAGAGGGAGAGGAAGAGGGATAGGAGGAGAAGAAGAAGATGGTGGTGGTGTTCGTGGAGAATTCATGAGGGTTAAAGCCATGGAATGAATGGTCTTCTTAAGGACTTGAAGTAAGTATACAACAAGAGAGACTATAGAGAAGCCCCATAAAATCATAGTTAGAAACTAATTACACAATTTGCTGTAAGAAATTTATAAGACGGTTTTTCTTTTTTGGACTTTTTTGATTGATGCAACAAAAATCAGGTTGTTGAAAAGAAAAAAATTAGTTGTGAGTCATGCAACAATAATCAGGTTGGAGAGAGTCTTTTAAAGGAGGAAGAGAGAGAGAGATGGAGGATGGAGAGAGAGAGAGAATGGTTTTTGTAATGATTTGTTTAACGGGTCAATGGGGAAGACGATTCCAACATTGTTTCTATGGAATCATACAAATTGGTATTGTTGGAAATCTTCAACGCCAAGGAACTGGTCGCAACCAAAATGCGGCAAGAATATTAATTATGGCCAACTGTGTAATTTTACTTTCCTCAAAGCTATGGTGAGCTTGACCTTATCCACAAGGGTTAATTGAGACCAAAAAAAAAAAAAAACTCAACTATTAATTTTATTTAATTTTTAAATATCTTCTTCTTGTATTACTTTTTAGCAAGGGGCTATACTGTCCAATTTGGTACGATTTCTAGCGGAATCGGAATAGTTTTTAACTTTTCCTAAAAGTTAGAATCAGAATCAAGCAGAACCAGTTCCAGGTTTTTTTTTTAATTTATATAAACACATATATTTTAGTAATATTATAATTAATATATATATATATAATTATTACTACAGTTCTAGTTCTAGCTCTAGAGTCTGAACCGAAACCAAAACTTAACGATTTCAAAATTTTGGATGTGGAACCAATTCTGATTCCCGGTACTTTGTGCACATTTACTTTTTAGGGTTATCCCACTGTCACCTTATCAACTATTTATTAATTATTATTATAATTTTATTCTATTTATTTTTTGCAGGATGAGATTGACCTAATCATGATTCATGAGGGTTAATTGTAAAAAATTATCTGAACTATTGATTTTTGTATATCACCCTCTTCCATTATTTTTATTTAACATTTCATCTTCTTATAGTAGCTGTTTTGCACATGACACATTTCTATTCGTGACTTCGTGTACCGTTAGAATACACGGTTAAGTTAATAGGAAAAAAAATATACGCCCTTTAGACAGAATATGTAACGTCAAACGCTAACATATTTTCTAAAACTCCAAAATAACCTTATTAATTCCAACAAACCTTTCTTATTTATTTATTTTTTGCAAATCACTCCCTTGTACTAAATTATTATAAAATATTCCCATATCACCCCATATTATTGGTCGTTTCGCTTTCACCGATTTTATAATTCCTGACCTCTCTGTCAACTTCTTTATTCTAATTGTTTTGCTAAAAAAAATATTAAAACTATTTTAATATAGATATAATTATTTTTCGTGATCAAATTTAAATAATTTAAATGAGAGTTCATGATAGGAATCATAAATAGACCACTTGATAGACGACTCTTTTACTAGATTTGTTTCATTTATTCTAGAAAGAGTTCATGTATTCCATTGTAGCTTCAGTTTCAGTTTAGTCTCTACAAAGATGTTATTTATTTATTTATTTATTTCTCTCTGGGTGTTGATTGGAATACCATCTTTATCAAAATTTTGATTCTCGTAAGAGTAAGGGAAATATACTTTATATATATATAAATATATATATATATATATATATTGATCTTGTTAAAGTAAGGGAAAGATACTTGAAGTCCTCTCACGTTCCAATTATTATTTTAAATAAAAAATGGCATCATTGTTTTTTAAAAATATTATTTTTAAAGGGTATTTTTAAAGACTATTACCAAATGTAAGTAATTTTTAAAGGGTATTTGTGTCATTTTACTTATTAAAAAAATTGCAACCCATTATTGTGAGAAAAGGCATATTGAGTTCCAAACAAAAGACAAATATTCATGAGGTCATAATTAGGATATATAAATGATAAATTGCTCGGTGATAAAATTATATATAATTTGAGATTAATTTCATTCAAACTTAATTATATTTTGATATAAAAATTAACTTATCTATTAAAAATGGACCAAGATTCAATGTGTTCACTCAATAAAAATTCATCATTTAATGAAAGTGATTCCACCTACTTATAAAAATTACTCTCAATAATTATATTGAGTGACTTGGACATATTATGTCATTCGTATGTGAAACTAATCAAAATGAATATTTCTAACATTGTTTATACGTAGAATTCATTTTCTTGAGTTTCGCATTATGTTTGGTTCGGCATATCAATGATGTGATATATCCAACAAAAAAGGAATTTTCTCTGGAGGGAGGAGTTCTATAATATCCTTGCGTGGTTATTTTTCCGTGAATGTGCCCCTCCTAAACCGTTGGCACTAAAGTGTGGCAAGGATATTAATTATGATCAAAATGGTAATTATATTTGGAGAAAATCTATACAGACTGTGTGGTTACTACCTACCTAGGAAAAACAAAAACAAAAAAACACACACACACACACAGTGGTTTGCCTGGCATATCACATAACTGGTATGCTGAAGGCTATAATGAGTGACCTTATCACATAAATTAATTGCAAAAAAAAAAAAAAAAATTTGAACTACATTTTTTCTTTATTACTCTCCTTTTTCTTTTTTTTGTTTTTGGCATATCATCCCCTTATACTATCAACTGTTTTACATTTATATATTAACACACTGATTAATTTGTCAAGTCAACGTGCCCGGATAAGTTCATAATTTAAAAGTTAGTTATCCAGTGGTTCGAACTTGAGACTTAATACTTTATGAGGTACTAGTACTCAAGTTATCACCCGTTAGGCCAACTCCGTCAAATTAAACGCATTTGACGAAATATTTGATATTCCTGTGTTTGTATTGAAAAAAAAAATACTTGAAGTCCTCCTGTTCCAATTAAAAAAAAAAATTTAATAGAAAATGACATTGTTGTGTTTTTAAAGAAAAGTAATACTAAACCGGCCTAACCCATACAGTTTGAATTGATTCAGAATCGAAAGTTTTTATGTGCACCTTCAACACTCACACACGCGACCCATTAGCCCTTTGAGGGTGTGGAGGACGTATATCACTCAAAGCCAAGATTTTGATTTTGATTTTGATTTTGATTTTGAATAAATATTAATTTGCGTGGTAAGAGATATTGAAAAATGAGATTTATAACTTATGAAAATATGAGATGTTGGGATAAATTAATATAATAATTGTATAGACGGTTGTACGGTTGAATGGTCCTTTAAATATCTGTATTCTCTTTAAGGAATGCAACAAGTATTAAGAAAATTTACAACAACAATATTCCACGAATTTGTTTGGCTAAGACGTTAACTTTTAAATGTAATACTTAAAAAAGTATCACTTATTAGTCCAAAAATAATTTGTTTAAGATAATTTTATACCACAAATGTTAAAATATTTATTAAAATTAGACATTAATCATTCAAAAAAATAGTTGATTGGGCATTATATTAGACAAAGAAGTTTTACCGTTAGAAAAAAAGGGTGAAGTGGAAAATTTCTATAGATATAAAACAAAATTACAAATCATCAACAAGGCATCCCTTGGAAACAAGTTGTCTACGACAACTAGAGGATAAACATAATAAGTGTCAATTAGCTAGAGACTGAGAGCATAACTCTCCCATCTCCATCCCAGACAACATTAGGACCTCTCCACAAATAGCTCTAGCAATTTCCATAGCAATTCTTCGAACCTCCTTATGCAATCGCAAATTCCTCTCATTCCATACATACCAAATAGTAGTTGCACAAATACGTTTTTGGGCCTTATGTTTAATTCCTTTGGTGACAAACCAATCCACTAATTGAGTTAACGAAATGACTGGAGGCATATTCCACCCAAGAACATCAGACAACCATTGCCAAATTGCTTTAGCAAATGGACAATTGACAATAAGATGATCTACATCATCGGCTAAGTTCATGCAGTTATGACAGATAGACACTAAAGGCAGCCCCCTCTTCTTTAGATTTTCAAAGGTTAAAAGCTTATTCTACATTGCTAGACAACAGACCAGAGAAGCTCTAGGTCTCGCTCCACTCCAACAAACTGAAAACCACTGCACCTCTGGGTGTGGATTACTCCACTTATTCCAAACATTTCCAAAAGAGAAGGCACCATGTCTCCACTGAAACCTATCATCACCTTGCTTCAATGTCAGAGAGAGAGCAAAGTTCTTGAACTGGTGTAAAATATTGGAGTTCTGATGTGGGAATTGCCACTGACTGTTTTGAATAATGAAAAATAATTTTGCTGGCTTGGCCAGATCAAAGTCTCTATGGACTCTATGTCCATATTTAGTCACCAAACTTTCCCAAAAGGTAGAGGTGAAAATATATATATTAAAAGAACAAGAAAAAAAATTTATATATATATATATGGAGCAAACTATCAAAAATAATTTTTAAAAGTAAATTTATAATCAACAATAAATAGCATTCAAACTAAAGAATATTCACTTGGGTCATTGCATTGTACATTGTTATATGTATGCATATGATATTTAATTTTTTTTATTTATAAATTTGATATTTAAATTACGGTGGAGTTTTAAAGTCAAACATAAATTTAAAAAATTAAAATTTACAATATAAGGGTAGTTATGATTTTATAAAATAAGGAAGAATGTTTCGGACTTTTCTATCCTTTCCTTTAGAAGAAGAAGAAGAAGAAGAAGAAGAAGAAGAAAAATAGAGTGTAAACATAGAAAGAATTACCCGTAAGTTTGGTCTTAAAAAGGTAGGAAAACACAAAGCTATAAAAAAATAAATAAAACAAACAGTAATGGTGTAGAGTATAGTAGTTATACAACTTGCGAGTACAACTTTTGTTTTTTTCTTTCTAAACTAGATCCAATTTTAACAATTCAATTATTTTTGGAATAAAAAAAAAATTATTTGAATCGATTAACACTTATTAATGGTTTTATGTATACTTACAGGGGTGGAGCCAGGGATTTGGTTCATGGGGCATATTAACACTGACAAAATATTTTTTTTTTTTCAACAGGCTGAAAATATAATAGTGTAACAAAAGTGCATTGAAACAAGTGAATAAAAAATGAATCAGAAGAAAAAAAAGAAAAAGTAAAAGAAGGTTATTACACAGAAATTATGCATAAGTACGTGCAAAAAAACAGAATGTTTTAAGAAAAAAAAATATGAGAGAATTTTGAAGGAATAAATAGGTTTTAATTGTAAAAAGAGAATAGAAAAGATTTTGAATATGACAAAAAGAAATTTAAAGAATAAGAAGAAAAAGGAATAAGGAATTAAAGACGTTTTTAGAAATAGATAATTTTTTAGGGAATAATTTATAAATTTTATGG